TGGTTGTGATTTTATGTATTTTGTGCCTAAGTGGACTGTACAGTCTATCCAAGTTAAGCCATGGCTATATCATGATATAACCCCAGTGCCACTAGAATTGAATTTGCCACTTTTGCAACAAGTTTTCTCACCCTAATCTACAAATTGTACTCCAGTTTATTAAGAAATACAACCAAGAAACTGTGATTCAGATGAAACATAACCAAAAAGAAGTACTAAGTATTAGAAAAGGTCCGGAATGCTGAATAAAATTATTGGTGGGAAACTTTACTTGGATGGAGTTAATCTGTATGGGATTTCTTAATCTAATTCTACATTCAATTGTTATTTTTGTTTTTTGTTCAAATGCTCTTGCTTGTGTATGAAACAGTTATATTTTAAACTCAAAAGCTATCAAGCTCTGCAGTTGCAAGACTTATATTATGACAAGTTCTATCACTGAGATGTCAGGCACACCTTGGGTGAAATGATCACTTACTGCGTGAAGAGAACAGCTGATGGCTGCAACCCATACAGGTCTTGAGCAGCAGGAGCAGAGTTTCATTACCAGACTGACTTCTGAATGGCAGAGACCTAGGAATTTCCAGAGTTGATGGACAGACCAAATCCATCAGTGCATCACATATGAGAGAGCCCAGGGTCAGAAATTCCTGCAAGGGCAGTGCCAGCCTTGCAGGGCCCAAATGAGCATGAGGGAAGATCTCATGAAGCAATGTGGTACATGGCTAGGTCCCAAGAGTAGAAATTACAAAACATATTGTAATAGGACGCCTATAAGTCTAAGGCACCAGCCATACCTGCACCTGGGGAAGTGTGTGGGCACTGGGTAAAACACATTCTGCAGAGCCTAGAGCATGGAATTGAAGGGACTAGAGGCAGGTAGCATCATTGTCCTGCTCACCTGCACCATCAGAGCTTCTTGTGTTCAGTTATAGTTAAGCTGTACGTTCATGAAGGTGAGAGAGCCTGGCCATACTCCTGTGAAAAACAGTGTGGATGGGAGTTCCTAGAGAATGAATGGCACCAGCGCTCTGTTCCAAAGCTGATCAACCTGAAGCAGACCACCTGAGTGGAAAGGGGTGAGGTGCAGGGGAGGAGGGACCTCACAGAAGAAATACCGGCAGAGACCCCAGGGCCAAAGAAAAGAAACACTGAGCAACACCTCCAAGTAACCTTCAATAACATCAAGTCATGGCAGGAAAGTAAACCCTGGGGTAGTGTCCAGGTGGGCAGGACACACCAGTGGCGGTGCTGTGGGCATGGGTCTACCACACAGGCTAACTCAAACAAGAAATATCACCGCCCTCTGGCAGACGCCTCTCATCTCTAGGGGTTTAACATAAACAAAGGCCATTTGCCTATAAACCCAGTCTTTCTCAGCCCAGGGGACTTGCCTCAGTTCTCAGACTTGCAGGTTTGTCCAGCATCATCCAGTCCCTTCAGGAGCCCTGCAGACAGGAGCTCCTCACAGCTTGGTTGCTGGGGAAAGACTACATGACTAGTATAGACTCTGGGCTCTAGCCTGAGCCCTCTTCTGGTCAGGTGAGCCCCACATTAGCCCCCCTCTGCCACCTGCAAGCAGCCTCTCGTAAAGAAGCAGGCACACCCTAGTCCCTTGCTTCAATCACATCATTATTTTCTCACCTACATGGGAACAACACCTGAAGGACTTGAGAGTGGTACTAGAGACCTTACAAAGAGCAAGACTAACTGCAAATCCAAAGAAATGCCAGTTGGGCAGACAAGAAACCAAATAATTGGGCTTTGTGGTAGGCCAGGGATGTGTTAAACCAGTGATGGACGAGGTGGAAGCATTATAAGCCTATGCTAAACCCAAAACCAAGAGGCTGATGAGGTCTTTTGGGCTTAGCAAATTATTACAGGACATTTGTTCCACATTTCTCAGAGATGGTAGCACCTCTCTGTTAGGGTAATGATATAGATTTTGGATGTTAGGGTAACAATATGGAATCTGGGGGTGCTGAGTGTGCAGCTAAATGAAGGCTTTTTCCTGAGACTCAGCAAAAAAGCTGCTGGTCACAAGGCTGGATGATATATTCATAGTTTCATAGTTGGTAGGGTCGGAAGGGACCTGAGCAGATCATCAAGTCTGACCCCCTGCCATGGCAGGAAAGAGTACTGGGGTCAAACGACCCCGGCAAGGTGTTCATCCAGCCTCCTCTTAAAGACCCCCAGGGTAGGAGCCAGCACCACTTCTCTTGGAAGTTGGTTCCAGATCCTAGCCGCCCTGACAGTGAAGTAGCGCCTCCTGATATTAAAAATAATTAACTTTGCAAATGCCTAAGCAAGCGGTTTTCTAAACAAAGAAGTGTTAGAGCCCATTGTGTAAGAAGAACAAGATGCAGCCCACCAGCTATTATCAGGAGATAAGACGGAAGCTAAACCTTGGAGATGGTGCTGAAATCAGCAAAGAATAAGAAAGAACCAGCAAGTGACTGAGAGTACCCGAGTTCATGGTCTTATGCATGCACTCTTAGCAGAGAGGAATGTAAATGAAGGAAAAGCATAGGCAATTCCTTGTTAATGAAGTAAAAAGTAAACAGAGGAGGAGCTTGAAATGGGAGGAGAAATGGGAGGAACTGGAGGTGGAACAAGGCAGGGTAAATGTTAATATTTATAAACCAAGGTGTATAAAATGTGAAAAGAACTCTTGTTCAGTGCAGTACCCTGTCTCTTCTGACATGAGGCCCCTTGTCCGAAGCTGTCTCCATTCTGAATAAAGCTGTTGCGAGCAATGTGTGCTGGTGTTTGCTCCCTGCTCTGCTCTGGCTAATGAGTAACAGGATTCACGGGTAATTGGACCGTCGTCTCCCTAGTTGTTGGGAGCCACACGGAGTCAGGGTCTAACACTCTCCTTTATTTAACAAAAGATACACAATGGTCAGAGGTCTCCTGGACCCAGGAAACACAAGAGGCATTCAAGAGAGTTAAAAAGTCCTTATGTAGAGAACCTGTCCTGTTCACACCAGATTTTAACAGGCTTTTTATCCTAGAGATGGATGCCTCAGGAACAGCACTTGAGGCCATCTTAACTCAAAAGGTAGACGGGGACCGCAGACCAGTAGCTTGTCAGACACAGATAGTTGAAGCATGGGATCTGATGTGCCACAGTGGAGCATGAGTGTTTAGCTTTTAAGTGGGGCACAGAACTCTTTAGATACTACCTGCTGGGCCGGGAATTTACACTCATCACAGACCACTCACCCCTAAAGTGGCTGCAATCCAGTAAAGCAGAAAATGCATGGATCATGAGGTGAGCACTGGCTCTCCAGCCATATCACTTCAAGATTGAATTCTGACCAGGAAAATAATACATAGTTGTGTGTCGCAGGGCACCTCGGTGCTCCTGCTCCTAGAGAGGAGAAACTGCCAGGGAGAGAGAGCGAGCCCTGGCATGACATAATGAGCCCAGGTGAGGTTTGCCAGGGTAACGAGCACAGCTGCAGGTTGCCAGGGCAACTAAGGAGAGCCAGCTGCCTGTAGGAGGCAGGGCCTGGCCCTTATAAAGCCCAGGGCTGAGGCTAGGCTGGTAGTTCCCTGCCAGCAGCCAGAGGGGCAGGAGCTCCTGCAGTTAAGATGGGAGGAAAAGCCTAACAGCAAGTATAGCTCGTGAGAGCTCCAGAGCAATGATATTGAGTTACAGCCAGGAGGCTTATGTTGTTATGGCCCAGTGCCTTATGTTTGAGTTATAGCCAGAAGGCTCGAATTTATGTTCAGGCTTTGATATTACACCGGTGGTTTGGGCGAAGCTGTAGGGGTTGGAGGAGGCCTCATAGGGGGGCTCACGGTAAAGTGGGGCCCCCAGCACCAGTGAGGGTGCACTAGGCCCTGAGAGTTGCAGGGCAGAGTTGTGGGGTCGGTTAAGCTCAGAGAAGAGCGGCTGAACCTCATAGGGACCCACAGGGGGTGGGACCCTAGTGCCAGTGAGGGTGCAACTTGCAGGGTGTGTAGACCCCAGTCCCGGAGAGGGGCGTTTTGAGAAGCCCCAGCACGGGCACGACGAGCCCCAGGAGGGGGCGCTATCAGGAGGCCTGAGTGTGGGCGCAGTGAGCCCCAGGAAGGGGGAGTGCACTTTAGAGAAGCCCAGCGTGGGCACAGCAAGCCCAGAGAGGGGGCACCATTATTAAGGAGCCAGCGTGGGCACAGTGAGCCCCAGAGAGGGGGCGATATTATTGAGAAGCCCGGTGCGGGCATGTAAGGTCCCAGAGAAGGGGGACTATTGAGAAGCCTGAGACAGGTGTAGCGAGCCCGGCTGTAGGCTAGTGCAGCAACAGCCCTCAGATAGGGGCAGGGTGCTGCGGTGGACCCCGATGGAAGGGGTTAGTAGTACAACGCCCCAGGAGAAAGGCAAGGTGCTGCGGTGGTTCCCTGCAAAAGGGGATAGCAGTGCGGTGAGCCGGAATCAGAGAGGGTAGCCGTGCGGTTGGCCTAAAGGACCGGAGACCTGCTAGAGGGTCCTTGAGCAGGACAACACTTTTAGAGGAGGCCCAGAGTGGGCTTGACGAAAGTCCCAGTGAGGGGCTGTGTATTAGAGAGAGCCCAGGAGTAGGCTAGACTACAGGGGAGGCCCAGGAGTGGGCTAGGTTACAGAGGAGGCCCGGGAGAGCAGGCAAGTTGATCTGTGACAGGACAACGTCCAGACCATCTGCGAGGCTTGGGATGTGGTATTAGGGGTTGGTAGGAGCCACGCGTAGCCCATAAGGCTAGGGTGCCTGGGGAGCACCCATCATACTGGGAGACCCCCAGGGGGTCCGGGAACATACGGGGACAGAGGTCCCAGCTAACCGTGCCCAGGGAGTTGTAAGGCAGCCTCCCAACTTTATCTAACCATCAAAGACGTGGCGGGCGAGAATTTGAGGGTGCCCTTGGGCCGACTTGGCACGGTGAGGGGGGCCATAAGGAGATCACGGCCCTCCTGGCGGACCCCGCCGTGACATTGTGGATTTCGTCTCCCGACAACATGAGATGGAGGGTATTTCAGAGACAAAAAACAAAGAGACCTCACAGCAACAATCCCTAAGGGGTCATCTTAAGATAAGTAAAATAGACAAGGGTACTCACAGCTTAAGGGAGGAGTATGTGCTAGAACAGCCAGGGTAGTAGGGGAAGAAGCACTGCTCGCACCCCTCCCCTTACCTGCTCAGCGTCCAGATTCCCCCATGACCACCGCTACTTCCAGAAGCGGAACAAGTTCCATGGAGTCAGCTATGCATTTCCGGCTCAACAGACTGAGTCAGCTGGGCTGGATGGTGAGGAGCCCAGGAAGGAAAGTGCTATCCGGGAAATTAAGCTTTACCTGTTGGGGGCAGAGCCTGAGGGAAGCTCTGGCCCTGACTGAGAATATCTGGCTGGTGACTCAGTCCAGTGACTTCCTCAACACAGATGACAGGCTCCAGCTGCTTGAAGAACACTGACCCCAGTTGGAGGAAAGAGCTGGCGAAGAAGTACAAGAAGACCACGGAACTAAGGTACAGAGGAGAGTGGAGGACAGAGGGACTCAGCTCTCAGATGGTGGGCAGCTTGGCTGCCTCCTACCCATCTTTCATACTTATCCAGAACAGACTATTAGGTAACCTGGGGGCAAAGCCTGGGGCCTTCAGTTAAGAGCCTAGACACATGTGACTGTGTATCCTGATGTCAGGCTGATGTATGCTCCTGCAGGGGTTTAGGACTATAGTAAGACATGCAGAGGTTTGAGGCGGGAGTGTAGAGGCTGGAGGAGCTTCCATTTTTTACCCCTAAGCTATCTGTGGCCAGATAGGTGCCTGCTGTGTTTACCCATTAGGGCTGTGCGAAATTTCGCCCACCACTTAATTTCAACACTGTTTCAACCAATTTTGAGGTAGGAACAGCAAAACCTGGAATGAAACAAAGCCCATCAAAATAGCCTTGAAACAAAATGAGGCTAGTCGAAACGTTTTGAAAGTCTAAACATTTCAACCATAGGCTGGGGATGGGAAGTAATTCTAGCTGGGCTGACTTCCCACCCCCACACTAGATGCCCATCCCCAGCGCTAGATTGCACCAGGAGCAGAAGGCAGCCCAGCTGGGCTGCTTCCCTATCCCTGGCACTAGATCACGCGGGGGATGGGGAAAGCAGTCTAGCTGGGCTGCTGCCCACCCCCCACGTGATCTAGCGATGGGGATGGGAAAGCAGCTGTTTCGACTCGAAACAGAAGGTTGTTTTGTTGAACCATCAAAACTGAAAGTGAAACAGAACAGTGCTGTTTCGAGCAGCCCTATTAGCCATGGTTTTTCTCTGTGGGTTAAGATTGTTCCTAGACTGAGCAACTCCTCCTGTTTTTCATTCCAACTAAGTCATGGTGGGAAAGCTAGAGTGAGGACAAGGATATACTTGCCTCAGAGAGAAACTTGCAAGAGTGTTAATCCTATCTGGGTGGCTACTGGCCATGCCACTGAGGTGCCTACACTTTTCAAGGGTTGGAGCAACGGCTCGTTGACACTAGATTTGAGATTTAGAACTGATTTTAAGGGAG